TCGCCCGGATAGAAGACAGTGTCGAATTGAAGACAGGGGGTGTCTTTAATACGGGTGTTTCTTATAGTTGGGTGCTTCCGATTATAAGCCACCTACAAGCGTGTACGACTTAAGACAGTGCCTACTAAACAGTGCTAGGGTTTAGGGTTTCCTTATAAAGGGGGTGGGTGTCTTATAATCGGTTCTTGCATTCAGGGGTGGGGGGGGTACATGCATGCATTTATCCAATCTTACTATTTCTACCTAGCCCCCCTCTGTTACGCCCTCCTCATCTGCACTAGTAGATGGTGGCTCCTGCATCCCCAAGTCTGGCACTCGCCAGGCGTGCCTGGCTGTCTGCACGGGCTCGATCATGCGGTCAGCCTCGGCCGCCGCTCCCCGGTAGTGAGGGGTCTCCTGGTACAGCACCTCCAGGCCGGTGGCCACGGCCACCTCTTTCACGCCCTCCGCCTGCATCTCCTCCTCCTCCTCCTCCTCGGGAGCCTTCCCAAGCAGGCGCGTGTTGTCGCCCGTGGTGCCCCCGAGGCACATGTCTTCGGTGACATCGGTGGTGCTCCTGGCGCGCAGGTGGGACATCACCAGATGGTTCTCGGTCCCATCCAGCTTGCTTGAGATGCCGCAGTGACGGAACGCGTCAATGATCACCTGCCTAGGGACTTGATCCCACGCCTCCGCTATCCACTGCAGCACCACGGGATGCGGGGGTCTCCTCAGGTTCCCTGCGGGTGGGTCACATTCAGAGCAAGCGTGCCGTCAGATACCGTACATCAAGAGCTACACTGGCAGGCATTTACTGATCACCGACAGTGGACTCACCGTTCTTCGTCTTCAGGTAAAGGCCTTCACGCATGAACCACCTAGCGTAGCGAGCTCGCACCCCGGCCTTGAAACACCGGTTGATGGAAACGTCAAGTGGTTGAATTTGACTGGTGCAACCTGCAGGGATTACAGCCGGAGTGATGCTGTGCGTGCGATAGGCGCGAAGCATGCCCTGGGTGATGTGGCCGCGGTACGAATCCAGAACCAGCATCGCACGCCGTGCGCACTGGCCCCGCTGGGGGTTGAGATGAGGCAGCACCTCCTTCATCAGCCAAGTCTGCACAGCGGTCTCGTCCATCCAACCGTTGTCCTGTGCTTGGACCACCACTCCTGCCAGGCACATAGGGAGATAGGGGAGTGAGCCAAACAGGGCCACGGTGGTCTCCCTAAACCCAAATTCGTTTAGCTCACCAGCGGGGACGTCACACCTCGGCACGTTCTTCATTTTGAACCAAACCCACGGCCGCAGCTTCTCCCCGGATGCCGTGCACGCGAGCATCACTGTCAGCCGCGTCTTCTCGTAGCCGGCCGTGCGGATCGGGACCGAGCGCGCACCACGGTGGTCAAGGGTCCTCTCGGCCGGCATTTCAACGAAGAGGGGCGTTTGATCCGCATTGATGATGCGGCTTGGGTCGATGTTGTGCCGCGCCCTGTTGATCCTGACGAACTTCCAAAAAGACTCGCAGTCTTTTGCGCATTCTGCCAAGGCAAAAGAACACACACAAGGATGGGATGAATCGGGATATGCAAGTTTATATCGTGGTAAGGACAAGGAGTTGACAATGCGCAGTGAATTCACAGCCTAGAACCACTCACCAGCCGACAACCGCTGGCCAACCTTTGTCTTCACCCGCATGACGAGATTCCAGCGGTCGCGGAAACGTTGGCTCCAGTGGGAGCTCGCGTTCCAGTTCTTCCCGGGGTGGTGCTTCTTCATCCACTCCCGGCTCCACTTCTGCGTGTCCTTGACCGAGATCGCCACCCCATTCGCGCGATGCAGGCAGATGTATCGGTATAGCGCCGCCTCCATGTCGGGGTGGTGTGAGTGGCGGCCCGCCCCATGCATGCGCTTGCGAGAATTCGCAGCGCCCTTGTACATGCCCGCTGCAGCCTGCGCGCTCCAGCGTCTGATGCACGCGATGCTCGCCGAAGACTCGGCCGAGGTCTTCTTGAGGGAGCCAAGCTCCGCGTAGCGACGCGCCCACTTCACCTTTTCGCGCACGGACCAGCTCCGCCTGGTCCGTTTAATCCCGCGACTACGTGGGGAAGGGGGGCGGGAGTTAGCATTACAGATGGTGGGGTCTTTTGGCTTCGCCTTCTCAGGGAATGAAGGCATGGGGCCTGCAGCCTCCGCGTAGTCGTCGTCACTGCCCTGCGCCTCGTTTACCAAGATGTCGTCCTTGTTCTTGACAGCCTTCTTCTTCTGCCTCTTCGCGCCTTTGCTTGAACCCGGGTTGCCATCGTCCTTCCACTTCTTCTTGCTCTGTCCGACGCGAGGGGCGACCTTACCAGGAACCTCAACCACCTTAGCCTTCCCCTTGTCAGCAGCAGGGACGCGGGGTCGCCGCTCCTCATCCGGGCTGTCGTCGTCCGAGAGCAGCACCCGGGTTTTTTTCCGGGACACGCCTAGGCTGTGACGCAGCCGCCTCTTCAACAGAGGCACGTCATCATCTGACGAGACGCGCCATGGGTCGTCCGCGTCGTCCTCGCCTTCGAAGAAGACGGCATCACGGCCATCACCCGCCTCCGCCACCACAACAGCAGCCGTATTTGCGCCTGTTTCGGCCTCCGCATCTGCATCCACCTCCGCATCCGCATCTGCATCCGCCTCCGCATCCGCATCTGCATCTGCCTCCGCATCCGCATCTGCATCCGCCTCCGCATCTGCACCCGCCGCCTGAGCTTCTACCGTCGCATCCGCCGCCGCATCAGCAACCGCATCCGCGCCTCCGTCATCGTCATCGTCGCCGGCGTGCCACTCCTCCACATCGTCGCCGGAGCCTATCGGCTGCATCCACCAGTCGTCATCGTCGATGCCTCCGGCAGGCACCTCGTCACCAGATGCGCTGTCGTCGTGGCCGTTTTCCGGCCAGTCCTCTTCGTCTTCGTCGCCATGATCTTCGTCGCTGGCGTCTTCGTTGCCCTCTTCCTCGTCACAACTTGCGCCAGAGCCGGCGTTGGAGCACCCCGCCGGTTGGCGCTTCTCTTTCGCCATGTCTACCCGGATGTCGTCACCGGGCGAGTTGATGCGCCCATAGTTGGTAACATGGACGTTAGGGAGAGGAGACGGCGCGCTTGCAGGATGCTTACTACGCATGATAGAGCCTGCTTAGAGCTAAGATTGAGCCACTTTCGAGTTTCATGAGCAAAAAATGAAGCTCAACCTCGACTACCCCCCATTCCAGAGTGCCCCCCCCCCTTGGAAGACGAGCCGCTCCTCTACGGCAAATTTGCTCGTAGAGGACAACTCAAGATGGCAGGATGCTGCCATCGTGCTGCTGGCAGCGTTCTAGAAGGCTCTGTTCCCTGCTGGCAGCAAAACGACACTAGAAGCATCATGAGATGCTGCCAGCAGGGCGGGATTCTGCCAGCACAAGCAGCATTGATGCTTCTCATCACGTGGCACGAGGTGGCGGCGCATGAATCGCATCAAAATGTGGCTGTTTTCAATTAATCCGCCCCGTGGGTGGTTTCTACAGTTTTTCCGAATGTTACATGGTTCTTATATATTTTGCCTATTTATAAGAATTATAAGACACCCCAAACCGTCCCAAATATAAGACACAGCAAGCATTTTTTCTAATGTATAAGATAAGACATATATGTCTTCTATCCGGGCGATGACGGTATATTTTTTAACAGTGTAACACTTTTTCAAATTTCGTATTGTGAAAGCGAGGACGTGGCCAACGCAGCAAAGGTAGCGGCTCGACGCTACTCACCCCTCTTTTGCCTACAAAAGAGAAACGTGATTTCAGTAGCTCCACCTACGTTCTTCATTTCCAATTTCTAGTTTTACTTTCCCACCATCCACCCTATTGTGTATCATTGATGGACGAGAACGTTGTAACTTCCCATTTGGAATGAAGCACGCTGCCTTTGCAAGATGGACTAAGCAAAGCTTTCACAATCTTATGAAAGTTACGTGCACTGGTACCGTACGTCACCCCATGGTATGGTGATAACTATGTTAAAACAAGTGGATACATTGATGTGTAGGTTCAAGTGGGCCTACGATTATAGAGGCAGCTTGTATTGCGCCAGCTGTACAGACCCGTTGGGCCAGCACATCTGTCCAATCACACTCCTCTGAAAGTGAACAACTTTTTCTGAAGCCGACGCGGAATCTCAACCGTTCGTTACGAGAAAAACTCTGCCCAGTTCAGCTCGGCAATATTCAGGGAATTCTGACGACCCATTTTCGTACAATTCCAGAACCACGGTTAGGTTTGGTGAGCTGCGGTCAGTAGCGGTGAGAAACCTAGACTGCTGGTTTAACGTATAAAGAACGCTCTAAACCGTACTGGGCGATCAGCAAGTAGTAGATGTCGCAGAACAATTTCAATTGCGCGAAACCGTAGCTAACCGACTATTAGCTCAAAGGTCATCCATGCTTGCTCGAGAAGCACGAGGAATCACAGTGGTTGATCTTGTTGCTGCTTTACATGTGCATACGATACTAGCACGTAATATGGACAATCTAGAAGAACCGGGACGAAACCTGTCGAGTCGCATTAGGTTGAAGGTAGCTCATCTCACCTAACGCCAACGATTACGGAGTTCTTGCTGCTTTTTTTACCATAAGCGCTGGTTCGTTCGATTAATAGTATTTCACCATTGGTGCGGATAGTTACCTGCTTACCCTGCTTGTAACTTGTACGAGGTGCACTGCGAAATCTTGGAAATTCGGAACGGAGGTTGATTGGCGTAAACCATACATGTATAAGTTTGCTGAAACAGCTGATTGGCCAGCCTGTCGAAACAGCTGATTGGACAGCCTGCTGAAACAGCTGATTCGCCAGCCTGCTGAAACAGCTAATTGGCATGAGACATGATGTCTGACTGACCAACCCTCTCAGCCGACGCATATCCAGCTACTTCCTCCTGCCAACTCTCAACGTCGTGGCCGCTGATTGGCCAGTTTCCACGCGGCAGCTCCTAGTTGGCCGGTCGTTCCACCAATGGATGCGAGTCACTTAAAATGGCTACAGGGCATGGCACTGGTGGTGGCCGTGGCTTTAATCTGGATATCCGCGAGCTACATAGTGCAGGTAAGACAGAGAAGTGAGCTTATAGTGCGAATAGATCATAGAATAGAGAGCCTCTGGACGGGATTGCATTTTACGAAATCTAAGTGCACACACTTACATCAGACTTATTTCTAATAAATGTACGGTTCTTCTCTTCTTCTTCTCCTTCTCCTTCTTCCTTCTGTCCCGTTACTTCCTTTCCAGGCTGTGGTGGAAGATGGCCTGGCGCCCTTTATACTCACATACATCTGCAACTCGTTATTAGAGTCGACTCAAAATCGACCCTGCTGTACTTTTCTCCCGTGTGTCCCGTTACTTCCTTTCCAGGCTGTGGTGGAAGATGGCCTGGCGCCCTTTATACTCACATACATCTGCAACTCGTTATTCGTGCTCTACATCCCCGTTGTAGAGCTCTGGTGGTACCTCTTCGGAAAGGACGAGCCTGGAAGTGGTTCGTCCAAAAGCAAAACGGGCAGCAGAAAGTGCGATCCAGAAGGCCGTTTTGGCGGGAAAAGCAGTAGCAAGAACAATGAGGGTGGTGGTAACTTTGTAACTGGTAACAGTACGAGGAAGAAGAAGAAGAAAAGGGAGGACGGGGTGGGAGATGAGGAAGAAAGAGGGTTGTTGGTCGAAGGGGAGAAGGCGAGGGGATCTGGGGATACTGAAGAGGAGGGGAACGTTGGGGGGGTGATGGGGGAAGAAAGGAGAGGGGAGAAGGGAAAAGGCGCTCAGGGAGGGATGCTGGGGGTAGTGCACGGGCGAGTAGAGGGGGGTGGGTTGGAGGAGCAGAGCGAGGAGGGTGAGAAGGGGAAGCATGGGGAGCAGAGGGAGCAGGGGGAGCAGGGGGAGCAGGAGAAACAGGAGAAGGAGGTGCGGGGGGAGCGGGAGGAGCAGGGGCAGCAGGGGCAGGGGGGGCAGCAGGGAGCGCAGGGACAAGGGGAATTAGTGGAGGCAGTCGAATGGCGAGGTAGAGAAACACGGGAGGCAGCAGCGGAGCTGATTATAGAGGGGATAGAGCCAGGGCAAGGGGGGTTAGAGGCAGCACAAGAGGTGAAGGGCTTAGGGGAGATGGGAGAAGGAGTGGAGAGAAGAGGGGTTTACCAGGAACGGCCGAGTACTGCTGAGCTTCTAGGGCATATAGAAGTGGATGATTTTACTCAGGGTGTGACTATAAAGGGGGAAGGAAGTCAAGTAGAAGGGATTTTGCTGCACAGTGGTATTCCAGCTCATGCTGACGTGGACAGGAGGGCTCATGAGCTGGCAACCAGTCTCTCGCTTCACACTGCTCTGACTCAATCCGCCAGCAAGGAGTCTGTCCAATCCAATTCGTCCACGTCAGCAGAAATTCTCGCCTCCCCCTCCTTCCGCCACTGGGGTCACCGATCCTTCGATGCAGGCTCGTTCAGGCTCTGGCTCGGCAGCCCAGGCTCGGGTCCGAGTCTCACACCAAGCCCTTCCGAGCGTAGAACTTCCGAGCCTAAGCAAGGACGGGAAAAAGACGTGCAGAATCAGCACCAGCGGCAGCAGCAGCAACAACAGGAGCATTCAGGATTGAGCTTGGGAAAAGCAGCAGCGTCACCTGTCCCAGCAGCAGCAGCGGAGGAGGCAAGGTGGACGAGGGCACGAGTGGCGGGAGTGAGCCTGGCCATCTGCCCCGTGTGGTTCCTCGCCCAGTTCACCTTCAACCTCTCGCTGGCTTACACCAGCGTCACGGTGAGTCGCCTGGGGCTCTTACAGGGCGTCTTTTCCCCTCTCTTAGTCTCCTGGGGCGACTTCTCCTTTCTTGAGTCGGCAGTAAAGTCACCTCGTGTGGTTCCTCGCCCAGTTCACCTTCAACCTCTCGCTGGCTTACACCAGTGTCACGGTGAGTGTGTCACGGTGAGTGTGTCACGGTGAGTGTGTCACGGTGAGTGTGTCACGGTGAGTCGAATCATTCAGGCCGTCTTCTACCCCTGTCTTGAGTCCCATGGGGTATCTTCACTTCCCCCCTCTTGCTGAGACGTCTTTTGAGGCGCCTCAAAAGTGAGTCCCGTGGGGTATCTTCACTTCCCCCCTCTTGCTGAGACCTCTTTTGAGGCGCCTCAAAAGTGAGTCCCATGGGGTATCTTCACTTCCCCCCTCTTGCTGAGACGTCTTTTGAGGCGCCTCAAAATTGAGTCCTCCCATGGGGTATCTTCACTTCCCCCCTCTTGCGGAGTCCCACCATCTGCCCGATGTTGTTCCTCCCTTGCCCAGATCACCTTCGATTGCTCACACCAGTGTTACTGTGAGTCCACTTGTATGCGTCGTCTTATCCCCAACTCCACTCTGGCATCTCTGTCAGTCCACTTGTATTCGGCGTCTTATCCCCAACTCCACTCTGGCATCTCTGTCAGTCCACTTGTATGCGGTGTCTTATCCCCAACTCCACTCTGGCATCTCTGTCAGTCCACTTGTATGCGGCGTCTTATCCCCAACTCCACTCTGGCATCTCTGTCAGTCCACTTGTATGCGGCGTCTTATCACCAGCTCCACTCTGCCATCTCTGTCAGTCCACTTGTATGCGACGTCTTATGAGGCGCCTCAAAAACAACCTCTCGCTGGCCTATACCAGTGTCACTGGGAGTCCACTTGCATGCGACGTCTTATCCCCAATTATGCTCTAGCATCTCTGGAAGTCTCCTCCCAACCAATCGCTGACTACCCACTTCAAACCCCCACCCCCCTCTCCGCACCCCCCTTCTCCATCAGTCCAACACCATTCTCAGCTACACGTCAAGCCTCTTCACCTTTGCTCTCTCCGTCCCTCCTTCACGAGCGCTTCTTTCTCCTCTCAGCTGTATCCTTCCCTCCTTTCCCCTCCCCTCCCCTCCTCCCCGCTCCCTCCACCCCCACTCCCCTCTCTCTCCCCCGCTTCCCCTCCAGTCCAACACCATTCTCAGCTGCACGTCAAGCCTCTTCACCTTTGCCCTCTCCGTCCCTCCTGCACGAGCGCTTCTGCCTGCGCAAGCTGCTCTCCGTGCTGCTCTGTGTGGCTCTCTGCTGTGCTTCTCGGTTCTGCTCGGTTCTGCTTTCTGTTCCTGACTCCCCACACCCACTTCTGCCTCTCCTCCCCGCTCCCTCCCCTCCTTGTGAGAATTGAACCGATGAGTTGATTAGGAATGATGAGGGCTTACATAGTTGGAGCTAAGGAAAGGGGGGTGGTTGGTACCTAGCCAACATTATTGGCCCCCACCAATAAGTTGGGTTGGAGAATTATTGGGGGGTCCCAATAATGTTGGTCGAAGTGGGCCAACATTATTGGGGGGGCCAATAATCCTCCAACCCAACCTTGGGGTCCAATAATTGGGCCAAGGTTGGGTTCCAACCCCCACCTAGGGTTAACCCTAGTTGTGCACCCAAACATTGTTTGGGTGCATATCTCTATCCTAGGGTTTATAGGATCAATGCAGGATACAGAAGAGTAGTATAATCTAACACTCCTCCCCTCCTCCCCTCTCCTCCCCCCCCCCCCTTTCCCCCCACCCCCTTCCCCGCCACCAGTCCAACACCATTCTCAGCTGCACGTCAAGCCTCTTCACCTTTGCTCTCTCCGTCCCTCCTTCACGAGCGCTTCTGCCTGCGCAAGCTGCTCTCCGTGCTGCTCTGTGTGGCTTTCTGTTGTGCTGCTTGGTGCTGCACTCGGTTCCACACTTATGTCTCTCCTCTGGATCGCTGTATCCTTCCCTCCTTTCCCCTCCCCTCCTCCCCGCTCCGTCCTCCCCCACTCCCCTCTCCCCCCCTCCTTCAGTCCAACACCATTCTCAGCTGCACGTCAAGCCTCTTCACCTTTGCTCTCTCCGTCTACCTCCTTCACGAGCGCTTCTGCCTGCGCAAGCTGCTCTCCGTGCTGCTCTGTGTGGCCGGCACCGTTGTTGTCGCCCTGGCAGACCAAGCCCAGGCCAGCAACACTCTAAACGCCGCACTTAGCAACCTAAGTGCCAGCGGCGGTTTTAACAACAGCAATTTCAACAGCAGCCACAGCAGCAGTAGCAGTGGCGCAGGGCTAAGTGGCAGTGGGAATAGCACAGGTTTTGGCGCCGGTGGTGGCGGTGGTGGGAATGCGTTTGATGCTGCTGCGGTGGCAGAGGCGAGTGCAGCAGTTGCGAGTAACGCAAGGGAGAGTCTGTTTGGCGATGTGCTGGTTCTCATGTCAGCTGGTTTCTACGCTCTCTATACCACCATGCTTCGGTCTTTCACCCCTGCTGAAGGCGGGTTTGAGGAGATGGGCGAGGAGGAGGGGATGGAGGGAGGGGAGAAGGAGGGAGTGAGAAGGGGAGGGAACGGAGAGGAGGAGCGAGGGGAGGAGGGACGCGTGGAATCGGGAGGTAGGGGATTTGATGTGGCTGAATCAGGGAGCGGGAAAGCAGAGGTGGAACAGGAGGAAAAGGCGGGAGAGGAAAGGGAAATAGAAGAGCACAAGGAGGAGAAAGGGGAGGGGGAGAAGGTGGGGAAAGGGGAGGAGGAAGGAGACGAGCAAAAGGATGGGGAGGGGAAGGGCGTAAAGAAGAGGAGGGATGCAGAAGAGGAAGGAGGAGAGGAGGAGGAAGAGGAGGAGGAGGAGGAGGTACCATTCAGCACAGCGCTCATGTTTGGGTATCTGGGTCTCTTCAACCTCTTCCTGCTGGCGCCTGTGGGGCTGCTGGTGCAGTGGGTGCGAGGGGAGTGGTTTGCCTGGCCCGACGCCTCCCAGTGGACGCTGGTCATTGCCAAAGGTACGCCTCCCTACCCTGCCACTGGAGTGGTGTGATCTCACCAAGGTGCCTTGACTGCGCACCTGAGAGAGGGTGCGAGGGGAGTGGTTTGCCTGGCCCGACTCTTCCCAGTGGGCTCTAGTCATTGCCAAAGGTACGCCTCTCCCTATCCTACCAGCAGAAGCAAGGGTGAGTCTCTGGGCCTCTTCAACCTCTTCTTTTTGGCGCCTGTGGGGCTGCTGGTGCAGTGGGTGCGAGGGGAGTGGTTTGCCTGGCCCGACGCCTCCCAGTGGGCTCTAGTCATTGCCAAAGGTACGCATTCCTACCCTTCCCTTAGAGGTACGTTTTAAGGGCGTATCCCCGGTTCCGTTCACTTGCACTGTTCCGGGCATGCGTGAATTGCGGATGCCCCAAACAACATAGAACACCACTTTGGGTTCTCGGCACTCATGCGACCTCCAAATTGGCGCGAGGCTTTTTCGCGCCAAAATTACGCCCCAAACAACAGTCGCATCCAATGGAGGGATGCCAGAACAGTTCGAAAGATCATTTGCTACACCCACGCAAAACCATGCGACACCCATCTAAAAACAAAACCGTAAAAAATGTCGGCATGAATCCCCAAATGTTGGGAGCAAGACGCGGGAAATTCAAGACACATTCGGGGGTCACTGGGATCAATTTGCCGAGTGGTTGGGTGCAGAGGTATATAAAACGGTACATTGCAAAATAGCATGACTCGACTGACGACGGCCAAAAAGATGGCAGTCTGACGTGAATCGTGCAACCAGGTGATTGGTTGGGGGAGGGTCGTGCACGTCAGTCGCCCAACACCTGCACATTGACCCAAAGCTGGGGCCGCGCACGGCTCGGCAGCCCACTTCGGGTCATGCGCATTTTACGCATGACCCAAACAGTTGAATGAACAGTGCAAGTGAACGGAACCAGGGATACGCCCTAAGGTGGGCTGGGGGTTTCTTCAACCCAACCTCTTCCTCCTCGCACCCGTGCGGCTGTTAGTGCAGTGGGTGCGAGGGGAGTGGTTCGCATAGCCTGAAGCATCCCAGTAGGGGCTTGTCATTGCAGAAGGTACGCCTGCCTACTCTACCAGCTAAGGCACAGGTGTGTTGGTAGAGAGGCACAGGTGTGCTGGGGGGGGGTTCAGGTCTTGATTCCTTGCCCCTTGTGTTCCCCTCCCCATGTTCAACTTCCCCCATCTCCTTCGCTCTACCCCAGGTCTGCTAGACAATGTATTGAGTGACTATCCCTATCGCCCCCTCATGTTCCCCTCTCCATTGTCCGCTCACCGATCTCCCACTCTCCTCTACCCCAGGTCTGCTTGACAACATATAGAGTGACTATCTGTGGGCTCGGGCGGTCCTGCTCACCACCCCCACCGCCGCTACAGCCGGGCTGCATATTCAAATTCCCATCGCCCTCCCCACCACCCCACCCACTCGTGTCCCCCTCCCCGTGTTCCCCTTCAGGTCTCTCAGACAACGTCCTAAGAGATTATCTCTGGGCTAGAGCTGTCCTCCTCACCACCCCCACCGCCGCTACAGCCGGGCTGCAGATCCAGATCCCCATCGCCCCCTCATGTTCCCCTCCCCATGTTCCCCTTCAGGCCTGCTAGACAACGTTCTGAGTGACTACCTGTGGGCTCGGGCCGTCCTGCTCACCACCCCCACCGCCGCTACAGCCGGGCTGCAGATCCAGATCCCCATCGCGCTCACTGTAGACAGCTGGAAGGCCAACAGCCTGCCAGACACTGTTCACATGGTCGGGGCGGCGTTGGTTGTCCTGGGGTTCCTGGGGATTAATTCGTTCGTGACGTTTGATTGGCTGGGGGATGTGGGTGCGGCTGAGAGGTGGCTTTTGGACCGGTGTAAAGCGGTGGGGGTGGTTGTTAGGGGGTTGGTGGCGGCAGTGGGTGAAATTCTACAAGGGATGGTTCATAGGGTGGTTGGGAGGCGGAGGGGTGGGGAATTGGAGGGGCTTTTAGAGAGTGAGGATGGGGGGGCAGCTAGAGCAGAATCAACTCTGGTAGGAAATCAAGTGGTACTTGCAAAAGCTTCGGATATTGTAGGGGTGAAAGTACCGGTGTAGTCGATTGTTGCGGCACGCTTGCTGCTGTGCTTCACTTGAGATTATTTCTCACACCAACCAACAGGGCCTAAACCATTATGGAGAGGTGCAGAACGCAAAAATAGGAGCTAGATGTCAGTCAAAGCATCAAATTATGATATGAAGCCCAATCCAGTCCAGTGCTATTTACAACAACACGTGGTTCTACTGCAATTATGATACAGCGTCAGATTTCCCAAATTCCTAGTCAGTTAACCATCCCCAGAGCATGATGAATCATTGAAAAAAAACACAGCACACCGCATTGCACCGATATAACAGCGCATCACACCATACTGCACCACATCACACCATACTGCGCCACATCACACCGCACCACACCACTCCCCACCGTGCCACGCCACATCTTGTCGCATCTCGTCACGTCAGGAGGATCGAGATACAGAGGTCGAAGGGAAAACGGGGCGAGCGGAAGGGGCAACAGGAGAGGAGGCTGAGGGAGGGAGGGTAGGTGTGGTGAGCAGAAGAGGCAGCTGCATCAGTCTCCTCTAATACCCATATGCATGACCTCCCCCTCTTGGCCCCTCAGAGGGCTGGCGAGCAGAGGAGGAACGGTGAGAGGAGGACGGCAGGGCAAGGCGGGCAGAAGGAGCAGCAGGGGCGGAGGCTGAGGGAGGGAGCGCGTGACGTGCGTGGTGCTGCCAGGTGCTGTCGAAGGTTGCTGCTTCCTCTGCAATGGAGTGCAAAGGGGAGATGAAGAGAAAGTGAGAGAACAAAGTGAGTGTTGAGCGTGGTGCTGCCATGTGCTGTCGAAGGTTGCTGCTTCCTCTGGTGGTGGGGAAAGGAAGAAGAGAGAAAAGAAGCTGTGAAAATCAGGATGGAAGTACTGAGGTGGAACATGGGAAGCTGTGAGGATCGGGTCGGGATGGAAGTGCTGAGGTGGAACATGGGAGGGCAAGGTGCGAGCCGCGCATTGTGCAGAATCCTGAATGGCCATACATACACACGTACCAACACGACCAATACCAACACGACCAATACCAACACGACCAATACCAGCACATGAACGCCCCACCTTGACTTTTGAGTCGACTCAAAAGTCACCTCGACTCAAAAGTCACCTCATGGCCCTACATAACACGTACCAACACGACCAATACCAGCACATGAACGCCCCACCCTGTGACATGCTGTGCAGGATTTCGTATGATGTCTTGGGGATAGACTCCCCACCACCACCCACCACCCCCCACCACCTCACCTTGCGACAAGTTGTGCAGAACCTCGTACAACCTCTGCTGACACCTCTCAACACCGCTCATACCTCGCGCACATTTTCACATGCCACCACCAACAACCCCCACCTTGCGACATGTTGTGCAGGATCTCGTACGACTTCTGCTGGAGGAATCATAATCCTATGACAGACATACCCCTCACCACCACCCACCGCCACACACCACCACCCCCCACAACCCACCACCCACCACCCCACCTTGTGACATATTGTGCAGGATCTCGTATGACTTCTGCTGCCCGCCCTCCCTGGTGCAGCTCAGTGTTCGCGCCTGTTGCCATATGGGGGGGGGGAGAGGGGGCGGGAGAGGTGGGGAGTGGTGAGGAGTGGTGAGGAGAGATGCTGCCTGCCCTCCCTGGTGTAGCTCAGTGTGTGCACGCCTGTCGCCATATTAGAAGGGAAGAGGGAAGGAGTGGTGCAGAGTGGGAAGTGGTGAGTGGTCAGTGTGAGGGGTAAGCAGTGGTGGAGGGGGGTTGAGTCACGAGGAGTGGAGAGTGGTGAGAGATGATGAAGAGAGATGCTTCCCGCCCTCCCTGGTGCAGCCCACGGTGCATGCCGGCCCCCACCTGCCAGCCATTCCCCCATGCCATCCCCCCTGCCAGCCCTCCCCTTGCCAGCCATCCCCCTGCCAGCCCTCCCCATGCCCATACCAGCCATCCCCCCTGCCAGTCTTCCCCCGCTACCACCTCCCCCCCTGCTAGCCCCCCACCTGCCAGCCCCCGCCCTGCCAGCACCCCGCCCCCCTGCCAGCCCCCCTCATCTCAACCCCCCCCTCCAACCCCCCCTGCCAACCCCCCCTCCCCCGCCAGCTCACCTTATCGCCCAACCCCCGTGCAACTGTCATGCTCTGGTGTCCCCTCGAGTCCCGCCGCTGGTGCTGTGCCTCCACCACCTGCGGTACAGAGGGGTGAAGAGCGGTGAAAAGGGGCGAGATGAAATGTTGGGGAGGTGAGTGGGCAGTGTGGATGAGGGGCAAGGGGAGTGCAGAAAAGGGGCGAAGAGGGGCGAAGAGGGGCGAAGAGGGGCGAAGAGGGGCGAAGAGGGGCGAAAAGGGGCGACGAGGGACGACGAGGGGCGACGAGGAGCGACGAAGGGCGAAGAGGGGCGAGGATAGGTAGAGAGCATTCGAGTCAGCTCGAAAGTAAATGCGCTCAATAACACTCAGCAATTGTCGTCCCGGTTCCTTCAAGTTACCCGCTAATCCCCGGTTAGAGGCGACTTATACACAGTGAATACCAGGCTCTGTTATAAGCATGAACCCCGCCGACAGCTCTGTTAAAAGAATCACTCACCCCGTTGGCCGCGATTTGGTGGGAGGACGACTCAGAGTAGTACGTCTTCCCGCCTATCCCCGAGTAGGTGACCGTTGAGCTCTGGAAGGAGTAGGACGAGCCGCCCCCTGCCGCGCCCCCAAGCCCCGCCAACGCGCCGCCGAAACCAGCGCCAAATCCGCCGCCTAATCCGCCACCAAATAGGCTGAGAGCGTTGAAAGGAGACGACGATGTGATACGCGTTTCGTGCGTGTGAGTGGGCGCGGCTGTAAAGAGAGGACGAAAGAGAGCGCAAAAGAGTGGGACAAATCGGGGAGGAAAAGACAAACGGAGAAGGGGCGGGGAGGGGAGGACGCAAAAGGAAATGTGAGAAGGACAAAAGCTTCGCTTTGTAGCAGCGAAACGCGATGGAGAATGGAAGGCAGGAGCTTTTGGTTCCGACGTGAAAGAAGGAGTGTTTTGAGACGTCTCAAAATGCCCCAAACGTGAAAGAAGGAGTGTTTTGAGACGTCTCAAAACACTCCTTCTTTCACGCGATGGAGAATGGAAGGCAGGAGCTTTTGGTTCCGACACGCTTCTTATTCGGTGAATAGAAAAGGGCGTGACTGAACGATGGGTTTGCGAAATAATGGAGCAGTTACCACTCGTAACACAGTCAATCCCGTCACAGTGGTAACACCGTAACCAGCGGGTTACCTTGCTGCTGCGAGCTGCGACCCTGCTGCCTCGTAGAACTCCTCTGCTGCTGCTGCTGCTGCTGCTGATAAGCCGAGTTTCTTCCCTGGGAATACTGCTGCTGCCGCTCATACGCTCCGCTCTCCGCGTTTCCCTCCTCTGCTTCCTCATCTTCCTCCTCGCGTTCTCGCCTCCTCTTCCCCTCCTGCTCCTCCTCCTGCTCGTCGTCTGGAAGCTCCACTATAGGCTCTTTCGCAATATAAGCTCGGTTCCTTCGCCCTGGTCGTTCGCCGCCGGTTTCGCGAGAATCGGACGGTTTCGCTCCCCTGCTGCTGGTGCTGTGGTAACCATGCGGTAACCCGGTTTCGTCGTCGTCATGAACTTCTTGAATGGCCGGTGCAGACACATGCTGCTGGTAACGCTGTCGCTGCTGCTGTCGCTGCTGCTGTTGCTGTTGTTGTTGCTGCTGCTGCTGCTGCTGCTGCTGCTGCTGCTGCTGCTGCTGCCGCCGCTGCTGTTGCTGCTGCTGCTGAAGGTGCCTGTTATGATGCTCCTGATGCTGACGCTGATGCTGCACATAAACAAGGAAACCACACGAACGAGAACCGTATAGAAACATGCTTAGATAGTTCTTTTTTAAAGTAGCAAAGGTCTGATGCGTCTCATAGCAATATCCCATCCCTTATCCTCACATGGTCGTCGAATCCGAACGGCGACGCCGACGGAAGCGGCAGCATCGGTGCGTGCGGGAACATCGACCCAAACGCGCCGAATTCCCCGCCGAAAATCCCGCCGGGACCGCGACCGGCTGTCCCGCCTTGACGACCGAACATGGACCCGAAAGGATCCGTGAAAAAGGGGTCTGAGAATACGGGATCGTTGAAAAGGCTTGGACCGAATCCGAAACCCATCCCGGCGAAGGGGTCATAATTAGGGTTCGGAAAGCCGCCTTGACCTACACCTCTATTCATCTTGAAAAACGCTTTCGCACGAGCACCCGCGACACGACGGAAGCCACTCTTACAAACAACGTCCCAGAAACGAGGCGCTCAAGAGTATTTCAACCCACAAGAAGTCTACGCACAGCTCGACAACGTGGCAAGAAACCGAGAACCATGAAAGAGCGAAGCGCATCACATGGTAATTAATCTGTAGCAAGAAATAGTATTTCACGCAAAAGCACAGGATCCGAAAATTCTTGACCCTCCAGAAATGATACCCACCATCAACGTTGCCTTTCCTTTCATGCTCACCCATCCAATCCCAAGGCCAGCCAGGCCTCCCCTCCTCCCTGTTGCCTCATCCGAAGATTGAGATTGCGGTTCGCCAAAAAAAGGGAGTTTTCTGTGGCTGTGGCGAAAGTCGCCACAGGGAAATTGAAGCCTGTGGGGAAATTCTTGATGACCGCGGTCACTGTACTGTACTGTGTTGAACAGAAATTGTATTGTATCTACTTAATGGTACAGTACACCCACATGGCCACATGTACAGAAGCACAGTCTCGAGCTGGGTTTGTTGTGCCACACACGCAATGTGGGGCAGCTCGGGCAGGTTTCAAACCCTCAGTTGTGCTCTAGAAAAATCACGAAACAGAGTTCTTGACGTTCGATCATTGCTGACGTGGAGTCTCCCCACAGTATAAAAAATCCAGCCGTCCCAAATCCGCGGATCATGCAGCATGGTGGTGACGGAATTCAAGTGGTGCTGAGGAGGCCCTGCTGAACGCGTTACACGGTATCCTCGAGATAATGCAGTAAATATTTACACTGATGTAGAGACCAGCAAGATGTATCTGCATTTCCAAATTCACCACAGCCTCCACTGCACCATCCTCCCTCCCTCTATATCCTGCATGGCCATTTTAGCTTGATGTGTGACATTTGTGCGCCATTCGCATTCCTTATTTTTCCTTCCTCTACAAGTCTTTGAGCTTGAGTCGGTGTCCTGCGAACAACCCATCACCCACATTTCCAAAATAAATCGATACTCCTTTACAAGCCTTCTCCCACAGGCCTGACCTGTGGCCCGCAGGCCTTCACATTCCCGTGCCCTCCATCCAAGAACCTACTGTGGGAGAACAGGGGCAAAGCCTTCCCACACTTAACCATTTCGAGTGCGTCGCTTACATCGCAACTCGCATTGCTGCTGATGCTGCTGCCATTGCTCCCATCAGCACACCCAGTCACCAGATCAGCTGCCATTTTGCCAACCAGTGGACCAAATTTAAACCCGTGCCCCGAGAACCCTGCTGCTACCACAATATTCACTCCGCCTGTCTCTCTGAAACTTTCTTCTTCAGACCCATCTCCTCGTGTTCCCTCCCCTAGAACCCCCTCCCTTCCCTCACTGCTAGTCCTGCTTTCTTCTGGTAAAGCGCGCTCTCCTGTGGCCAATGGGATGCGATCAATTATGAAATCTTGGTCCGGAGTCATGGTGTAGAGGCAAGATTCCATCATCACGGGCTCGGTGGTAACCCTACTCCCGAACCTGGCCTGAAGCCACGGCACCAGCACGGTCCGGACCGCATGCGCATCCGGGAGGGAGGGTCGGTTGTCAGGGTCGGGGCAGGGCAGGCCGGAATGGAGGGAGACCTTGATTAGGTCCGGGAACTCCAGGCTCGGAATGCCGTACACGTACGGTTCGTCATAGTTGATAAATAATGGAATGGCTGTGCTGTTACCGTTGCTCCTGCTTCTGCTGCTGCTGCTAATACCATCAGAAGAAGCAGCACCAGTAGCAGCAGTACCATCACCAACAGCATCAGCACTGTCAGTATCAGCAGCAGCAACAGGAGCACAGTCAGCATCTCCCCCTCCCTCCACAGCAACCCGCCAGTAAGCCACGGTGGTTCGCAGGGCCTGCAGAGGAAGCTTCCTCCCTGTTGCCCTCTCTAATAGTTTTCCCGCCCATGCCCCTGCTGCCACTACACAGTCGTTACATGTAACGCTGCCTCTGCTGGTTACCACACAAATCCGTCCTGAATTTTCAACCCCTGTAGCTGCTGCCTCTTTGTCCTGTAGCAGCTCGACGGCAGTAACCGCCGTTTTGTCTCGTAGTGCCGCCCCGTGCTTCACCGCCAGCTGTTGGAACATCGCCACAGCTTTCGTCGCATGCAGCACCCCCGCATCGGGACAAAACACGCCGACCAAATCATCGTCAGAAGAAGAACCTTCAGAAAATTTGAACATTGGGAACCGTTCTCTCAAAGCAGCTCCCTCCAGGAGCTGATGTGGCACGCCGTGGTTGCGACAGCTGGCATGAACGGCTGCCAGGTCAGCATTGCTGCGTGGGCCGAAATCCAAGCCACCGGTGACGGTAAGGGGGGAGTATCCAGCCTCGTTAGAAGCAGACTCCCATAACTTATAAGCAAGCGGCATGAGTGCGGTGTAATGGTCTTCAGGGTAAGTTCTCCTGATGATTCGAGACTCCCCATGCGAAGAGCCTGGAGATAGGAGAAGGAAGGAAGGGCGGATTAGAGTGGGGTGGATGAGACTGGGGTGCATGAGTGCAGTGTAATGGTCTTCAGGGTAAGTTCTCTTAATAATTCGAATTACTGCGATGACTTGACACCGGCAGGGGAGGAGTAGAGGAGGGGAGGAGGAGAGAAGGAGAGGAGGAGAGAAGGAGAGGAGGGGGAACGGACTGCTCGGCGGTGCAGCATTCGCACTGCTCCAGCAGTAGCAGCAGTAGTCTCCTTGTTAAGGGTTCATTCGACAACAGCACAAAATCCTCGTTTATAGTCCACTCGATAACAGCAAGATCTCTCTCTCTCTCCTCCCCCACCTCGTCTATGCAGCAGGTCGAACTGCTCCAGAAGCAGCACTTACCGCCCGCATTTCACGAGCTCGTACGCTGCGCAGATGCCAATAATGCGGTAAGGTACGGTACGGTTCTGTGAGGTGCGGTGCTGAGAGATTGACAGAATTGCTTTCTCCACTCACCTCGGCGGTGCACCAGATCAAACTGCTCCATCAGCAGCACAGCCAGCCTGTGATTAACTATCAAAATCCTCGTTAAAAACGAGCTCGATAAAAGCAGAATGTCTCTTTCTCACCTCGTCGGTGCAGTAAATCGAACTGCTCCAGCAGCAGCACTGTCCGCCCGCGCTTCGCGAGCTCGTACGCCGCGCAGCTGCCCATGATGCCAGCACCCACCACCACCACGTCGTACCGCTCCATTATACCAGATCCACGTGGCTGAACCGCGCAGAAGCGGCGAGACAATGACAATGCGGTAAGGTGCGGTGAGGAGCGGTCCGGAGCGATTGATACCGGTTCCGCAGGATACACTAGCGCAACGGATTCACGCGCAACGCTTCGCACTGACAACGCTAGGGAATGAGAGGAGCAAAACTGACGGATTCTGTCCGCCCAGCTGACTCTGTTTGCGGGCCCCAGAGAAATCTGGACGGACCAAATTAGCTCCGAAGGAATAGCTTCTATGGGTACACCGCATAACTCGTTACTACACGCTCCGCTGATTCAACTTGAAATAATCAGACTCATAATGCTCAGGTGCATCACCTCTCATTGCTTGATAATCACCACATAGAGTCGAACCATATAATTATCAGACCACTATGATGGGGCAAGTTGCAATAATTCGCCTTTCTTTTTAGACGAAACTCCCTTCTTCCACCATTTCCACCTCTGCGCAAATCCCTTAGCCCACACAGCAAGGTGCGCAAGCCAAACCGCTGCTTCCAGTTTCAACAACTGCATCTCCACTTGTGCTATTTGCAGCCTTCTGTGCAAATACGCCTTCCAACGAACTGCCAAAGAGTTTGGAGCCTTGGAAATTAGAGCTTTCTCATCTGCTTCTGCAATTGCCTGTGTGCATTCCCGTGCGGTGATCATGAATGTGTTGACTGGGGTGCCCTGCAGTGATGTATGTAAGCGCGATGGACAGAACAGAACAGCACATAGACAAAGGATTCGGGATGCAACCGAGGAAAGATTTAGGAAATCTTGGACAAAGGATGCAGGGCGAAACACAGGAGAGAGGGGACTCACCGGACAAGACAAACAGATCTGAAATCCAGTTTCAACAATACGGCATATTTTGCAATAAGGAAATGGTGATTACTCACCAGGGCAGTATCCAAGGACCGAAGGCAGTCATTGGTTTTGAGGAGCAGCAGCAGCACACGGGGCAAGCATGACAGTCAAGTGAAGGGAAACACGGTAGTGAGAAATAAAGGAAGATTCTCACCAGGGCAGTATCCAGAGAGCGAAGGCAGTCATTGGTTTTGAGGAGCAGCAGCAGCACACGAGGTAACCGAGCTAGAAGGCGTGTAATGTCATTGAAATATGCGGCTGCTGATTTCTGGAGAAGCAGAGAGGAAGGGAAGGAGGGAGGGAGGAAGGGGCTGAAACAGGGGGACGGCTGTGGTGCGATGAACGTGCTAGAAGGCGTGTGATGTCATTGAAATATGCGGCTGCTGATTTCTGGAGAAGCAGAGAGGAGAGGGAGGGGCAGAGATAGCCGTGGAAAAGGGTGGGTTGGGCGTTATTTGAGTCGACCCACTCCAATGCAGGCAGGCAAGCGTGTGGCCGCAGTGTGAGCGTCGCAGCAAAGAGAGGGAGGAGAGCGTCTCAGCAAAGTTGGCGTACAGGCCTCCCCGGCGCCCAGCAAGGAGAGGGAGGAGAGGGCAGGGGCAGGAAAGGGGGTGTGCAGGTCCTCCCCCGGCCCTTAGCGTAATGTTTTTTGAGAGGACCTGCGTGCGCGGCGCGATGCTGTGCTGCATGGTGCCCTCACCTGCAGGGGCTGCATGGTGCCCTCACCTGCAGGGGCTGCATGGTGCCCTCACCTGCAGGGGCTGCATGGTGCCCTCACCTGCAGGGGCTGCATGGTGCCCTCACCTGCAGGGGCTGCATGGTGCCCTCACCTGCAGGGGCTGCATGGTGCCCTCACCTGCAGGGGCTGCATGGTGCCCTCACCTGCAGGTGCTGCTTCTCCTCGAGTCCGTGTCCGGAATAAACAGGTGATCCGAAGACTCCTCCACAACGTTCTCCCTCTCTCTACCACTCTTCACCCTCTTTTACCCCTCACCTGCAGGGGCTGCTTCTCCTGGAGTCCGTGTCTGGAATGAACAGGTGGTCCGAAGACGCCACAACGATGTTCTCCCTCTCTCTACCACTCTTCACCCCCTTTAACCCCTCACCTGCAGGTGCTGCTTCTCCTCAGCCGTGTCCCGAATAAACAGGTGATCGGAAGACGCCTCAACGATGTTCTCCCACAATCGCAGCGTGAGTGTCGCAGCAAAGATCGCGTACAGGTCCGCCCCGGCCCCCAGCGCAATGCTATACTGCATGAAGCCCTGCGAGCCACTGCCCATCATCAGTAACCTAACCAACCCTACGCCTCCTACCCCCCACCCCTCCCTCACCTGCAGGTGCTTCTTTTCTTCCGCCGTGTCAGGGATAAACAGATGGTCCGACGACGCCTCGACGATGTTCTCCCACGATCGCAGAGTGAGCGTCGCAGCAAAGATGGCGTACAGGTCCGCCCCGGCGCCCAGCGCAATGCTGTACTGCATGATGCCTCTAGCATCTGCCAGAACAAGAGCCTTCCAGAGGTGCGCGTAGTTGAGGCGGAGGGAGTCAGGGAGTTGCCGGTACAGCCCATGATCTAGTAACACCACTTCTGGCTCCACATAGCCTGGAGAGAGTGGGAACGATGCAGAACGGACATACAGCGTAGTTGAGGCGGAGGGAGTCAGGGAGTTGCCGGTACATCCCGTGATCGAGTAACACGATTTCTGGTTCCACGTAGCCTGGAGAGAGGGAACGGAGTGAGAGGAGAGAGGAGAGGTAAGGGAGTGACAAAGAGAGGGAGGAGAGGGTAGCGGCAGCAAGGTTTTTAACACATGTCTCAACCCCGTTCCCAGCGCAATGCTGTACTGCATGTTGCCTCTCGGATTGGCCAGCACAAGGGCCTTCCAGAGGAGTGCGTAGTTGAGGCAGAGGGAGTCGGGCAGCTGGCGGCATAGCCCGTGATCCAGCAGTACCACCTCTGGCTCCACATAGCTTGGCGGGAGTGGGAACGATGCAGTGGGACATATAGCGTGATATAGCGTGATAGAGGCAGAAGGAGTCGGGCAGCTGGCGGCATAGCCCGTGATCCAGCAGTACGACTTCTGGTTTAACTGGCCTGGAGAGAGGGAGGGGGAACGACGTGCAACAACACATGTGCGCGTAGTTGAGGGACGGAATCGGGGAAAGTGAGGGCAGGGGCAGGCGCCTTGGCCGAGAGCGGGCAGCCAATCACGCAGGCAGGTAGAGCAGGCAGGTCTACGCGCAAATCCCGAATCTCTGATACTAGAATGAGCAGCACTCACCGCCGCGCATTCGCCGCCCTCCTCTCTTCCGCCGCACCAGCACATAAGCAGCATGGTGATCGCAGTGCACAAAGCATTCCTACCAGGCACCCTTACCCCCATGGTACTAGAGAGACCAGCCACTCACCGCCAGGCATTCGCCGCCCTCCTTGCTTCGGCCGCACCAACACGTTTGCTGCATGGGGGTCGCAGTGCACAAAGCCGTGGCGGAATATCATCTCCGCAAACGCAGTGCTGATCTGGTTGGTGGACGAGTGACGGAGGAACGGGGGAAGAAGAGAAGAGTAGGAGTGAGGTACCATTTGTTTGCGATCATATAAACATAGCATAGGCATCAAAAGTGGGAAATGATTTGAACTTGGATCGGGTATAAAACTAAATGATGGGCCAGGTACCGAATATAAATGGGCCGAAGAGTTTACCATGTAAAAAGACTGCAACTCACCAGTTTTGCCACGTCAGCAGGGTTGATCCCCATGTCCTTGAGCCTTGCCACGTCAGTCAGAGGCACGCCTTCCATCCACTCCATCGTCAGCACTCGCTGCCCGGTAAATTCTGGGAAGCTTCTCGGCACCGCCACAGACTCCCTCAGGAGCTTGGACGGTGAGGATCGAAAGTTGGCCATGCAATGACGACCGTTGGATGCTTCGAGGGTGAAATTTAGCTCCTGAAGAGAGGAAGAAAGGTGAGTGGATGGGTCACAGTGGAGGGGGAGTAGATTTGAAAGGCATGACGTATTACGGACGAGGGAAGAGGAGATTTGGAAGGGTGAAATCTAGCTCCTGTAGAGGGGTAAAAGGTGAGTCGGTGGGTCACAGTGTGAGGGGAGGAGATTCTGAAGGCATGATGGTCCATGGAAGGGGGTAAGTACAAGGCAAAACGTTGAGAGACAGAATGCAATGCACCGCCAGCCGTTGGATGCAATGCTGACCGTTGGATGCTTTGGGACTGAAATCACGCAGATGGCAAAGTAGAAAGCAAATTGCGCATGCAATTCTAGGTGTCCTGTGCGGTTCGATCTACTTCATAGACGCTCTCTGAAACGTACCTTGGGTAAGCTCTCTTCCACCTCTATGATCAGCCACCTGACATGGAGATCGCAGATGGCTAATCACTTTCTAGGTGTGCTGTGTGGTTAAATTGACCTTTTAGGCGCTCTCTGAAACATACCTTGGGTAAGCTCTCTTCCACCTCTGTGATCAGCCACCTGCAACGGGAAAGCAGACAAGATGGGAGTAATGTATGATTGGATTTATTGTAGCAATGGTTTCAACTGCCGATCCAACCGAACAAATCGGGAAACTAAATAAAACATGTAGCGGGTAGCCTAGGCTCGGGAAGCAATGATGTATGCAGTCTTGGCTCGAAGAGAACAAATACATGAATACTGCCAAGACTAGGCTGCAGGCTCGAGAAGAACCAACCGGTACCTGTAGTCTAGGCTCGGGAAGAACCAATACCTGTAGTCTAGGCTTGGGAAGAACCAATACCTGTAGTCTAGGCTCGGGAAGAACCAGTAGAGTGCGGAGATGACAAGGCGCACTGATACCATGTCTGCTGCTGCTGTGTCAAGCAAATGTGCGTGCTGCACCTGGTGGGATGTGGTGTGAAGGGGTGGGGAGGGGTGAGGAGCAGTTGGGATGGGTTAGTGGGTTGCCGAGAAGGAAAAGACGGGTACAGCATGTCTGCTGCTGCTGTGTCAAGCAAATGTGCGTGCTGGACGTAATGGGATGGGGTGGGAAAGGTTGGAAGAGGGAGGGTTGGAAATAGGTAAGTGGGGTTTCCAAAAGGAAGAAATGGGGCCTCAACAAGAACTATGCTGCGTTGTTGGACCAGAAAATCAACAAGAACTATGCTCGCTTTGACAGCCACACCTTCCCCTGATTCCGGAGTGCCAGGTGCACTTGGGCCGAGAAAGATTGATTAGACACATAATATTCTGACCTGATACTCACCGTGACCTCACCTTGACGATCTCTACCTCCCCTGATTTGTGTGTGCCTTGATGAACTAGGTTAGGCTCGAGAAACCTTATGCGACACATCACTACTTGACCTGAATCTCACCTGACTCTCACCTGAATCTCACCTGACTCTCACCTGACTCTCACCTGACTCTCACCTCAACCTCCTGACCTCACCTTCACTGCCACGTCTTCCCCTGTCTTGAGTGTGCCTCGATGCACCTGGGCCAACGAGGCGCTCGCCACAGGCGTGGGGTCGAATGAGGAGAAGATCTGACGGTGGGAGTTGTAAAACAGGAGGAAAGGAGAAAAACAGGAGGAGAAAGGAGAAAAACAGGAGGAGAAAGGAGAAAAACAGGAGGAGAAAGGAGAAAAACAGGAGGAGAGGGGCAGGGGAGAGGAAGGTGCAATTGGGCCAGGGACGCGCTTGCCACGGGCGTGGAGTCGAAGGAGGAGTATATCTGAGCATAGGGTGGGGGAAAGGATGATAGGGCTCGGAAAAAAGAGTGTGGGGAACCGGTAGGAAGGGATTGGGGAGAGGTAGGGGTGAAGGAGGGATGGAGGGATGAAGGATCGACGGAAGGTTGGAGAGCCGAACTCGATGGCAGGGAGGTTTAGGAAGGATTCAACTTACTTCTCCCCTTCGCCATACCACCTTCCCTCCCGTCCCTCTTCCACTTTACCACCTTTCCACCTTCCACCATACCTTTCAAAACGGACGTTTTTCACCGTACCTGCCTCTCTCGCCGTACCTCCTCTGGTGGCTTTCCGAGCTCTGATTGGATGACGAGCCGAACGTCCTCGTAAGGGGTGACAGGGCACGTGTTGAGCATAGACTCCTTCATTACAATCACATACTCCTCCGGCACGATGTAGTCCTGAAAACACAGAAGGCGAGCAACGTAAGTTATGTATACATATACATGTGCATCTTTTCCCACCACTGACTCCTTCATTACAATCACATACCACTCCGGCACAATGTAATCCTGAAAGCACAAAAAGAAAGCGACAGAAATTACGCAACATATAGACTTGTTCAATTTGGTCACATATTCCATATCATCACAAATTTCCGTTCTTGAAACACGCCCATACCAACAACACCCTTCAAAGCCACACCCTTCATAGACCCAAATCACACCCACCAGCTGAGCAATGTGCTGCCCTAGCTTAATGTAGATCCCTCCGTTTCTGGAGCACATCGCCTGCAGCCGATCCCTTTACCCATACCATCAACAACACCCTTAACATGCACACCGGGTAAACTGGAACCCACCAACTGAGCAATGTGCTGCCCTAGCTTGATGTAGATCCCTCCGTTTTTGAAGCACATCGCCTGCAGCCGATCCGCGCAGCGCAGGTGGCACTGCCGCTTCTCCGATTCCATTTCCTCGCTGCCCGCGGGCAGCCCGCGAAGAGAAGTCTTGTAGTCTGAGGAAACAACAGAGAAAATGGTTACTAGGTGAGTAGATTCGGCTAAAGGCCCTGCATTGCTATATTGCATAATTAAAAGGCTTTAGTGAAATGTTTAGCTAAAAGCGTTTATGGGAGAAAAGGCTGGTTGGGTGGGAAGTCGTACCAGCAACCATGGCGAGTACTGTGGTTACCACTCTTCCAACGCGCACTGGGACTGTAACGAGAAGCTTCAAACGAAGCATTGGATCCTCCCCCATTGCAGCCCATCCCACCGCACCCACGAAGCCCAATCCAGCCACGCCACGTGTCAGCCGCAAAAGGATTGACGGACGATTCAATCCGCCGTTTACTTGTGCTTTTGCCCCGTGAGATGCGGCGACGTTGCCGGCGTGAGTCGCGGCGGTCGTGGAACTAAATAACCGCCTAGCTGCGACGCCGCCTACAACCTCGATCTGCGACGGGTAAGTGCCATTGAATTTCACCTTGCCAGCCTGACACGCGCCGCGCGTGAAGGCTGTCGAGAAATGGGGAGCTTTCGTAACAGTGAAAAATGACCTACAGATGTTCTGTATTGTTCCTTCATATACGTTCCGTACGGTCCCGTTACTGACATTGTGTATCGTTTCGTTATAAATGCTCCTCCGATCCACAGCATGCTTGGCTCCTCGAGCAGCACTAGCGGCAACAAAACAGAATGCATTGTGGACACTTTTCCCCCGCATCGCGAATCGTGACGCCTGTGCGACTCGTCTGTCTCGAGAAGTAACCGGCCTCTTGCTGACACGAATCTGGCGGTACTGCGATTGCTGTGTAACGGATCAGCCACAAGTAACTTTCAGCGAGGAAGCTGCAAGGAAGGATCGCCGACTCCCTCACTTCAAGAACGACCCCTGAGCTCTTGGCAGGTAAGGCGCGGTGGTACTCTTAGTTCGAGCACCCCGAGGATCGAGCATGGAATAGATCGACAGTCGTCAGCGGGAACTGCGCTGTATGATAGCGATAACGAAGTGCGCAGCCTGCTGGCCTGGTTTGGCGCGAGTTTGCCCAAAATAGACGGATCCGTAACCTAAATCGTTTCTTCTACATACCTTATGCCCAGCAGACCAGACAAAGCAGTATCTGTGTGCTGAACTAAACTACGTGATCCTAAATTAGCCTGCTTCTATGCCTGTTTGAGATGTCAGCTCAGCAGCACTACCAGAGTCTTGAAGACCATATTCCAAGCCTTTCTTGCAGTCCAGACCAGAGTCTTTGAGCCTCTACGTTGAATGAACTTTTCGCGCGCTTTTTTCCTGCAATTTTGGAGGTGTGGCGAATCCCAAGGGTGTTTCTGGAACACGTGAGGCGCGGCGGCCGCCAGCAAGAGGGTGGATGAACGGTACCGCTTGTCTTAGGTCCAGACACATTCGCTTTACTAGGCTTCAGTCATTCGCCACGGCAACACTAGATGTTACAAGGTTTTGAACATCGATCATAGACTTTACTATGCCTTGGTAGCTAGGAGGATAAGGGAGGAGTGTGGCGCGACATTGTAGGTGCCGCTGATTACACGCCCATTGGTTGCAATTGTCTCCAGATCATCCACAATGTCCCTTGGAGATGGCAAATTAGTGTCCGCCTGTTCCCAATCACCAACAACAAGAGGCACTTAGAGGCAGGGATAATGAGATGCAATGTACACAAGGATAGGAGAGAGATAATTGCATGATTTAGGCAATGAATCTTATGCTATGTTTCCACGAAAAGGGCGTCATTGTAGCAGTGAGCTAGGATGTACTCACCAGTCGGATCCATTGGCGCCCAGCGGGTGGGGGAGGAAGGCCAGCATCCACAGCGAAAGAGTGAGCATTGAAGGCCACATACAGGTCCCCACATATCCCAGAGGTGTCATGCAAGCTGCAACATTTAACATACACACATCCATGAATGAAGATAAGTTGTGATTCTTGTTGTGGTGCATTCAAACGATCGAACACTTTGGACAACCAATAGTGTTCCATAAGACTGAAGCCATCGAAGGGAAGTGTTGAAGGTCGACTTACCTGAAGGCAAGGAATCTACTCTCGTAGTTATCCCAGTTGTCTTCATGCCATGTGATGTCCCGCTGAGAATTAGCCACACAACACATGCACACAAACACACACCGGTGATCAAAGAAGCCAGCTTGCTAGTTGTCTGAACATACAATGCAGTGGATATATGCATGAAAGCACGAGGGTGAAAGAGAAGTCCGGTCAGCCGGATGCATACTGAATGCACGTTATGAATCCTAAAATGCTGATAACTGCAGTTAGGGGGACGCTGAGGGATTACGGGTGAGAGGAAGTTGGCTTGGCCAAGAGCTGGGTGCCAGGAACGAAGGCGGTTGACTGCTGCTGTGAAGCGGAAGAGAGACGAGCGGGCCTGGTCCAACTGGGTGGGAAGAGAATGGGAAGCGGATGGAGCGAGCATGGGACCTCAGATAAAGAGAGTGACAGGGACAGCTAGAATCAGCCGATTCCAGAGAAAGTGGTTCAGATCGGCGTCATGGCAATAGCTGTTAAAAAGGTGGCAGGTCATCAAGGCAGTCTATTTTAGTCACAAGGTGCTGTACTATCTGTTTCTTCAGTGCCAGAAGCTGATTGATCACAAAGCCGTGCAGTCATGGAGTGCAATAGCCTCCAGTGCCATAGTTTAATCACCTGGTTCCAGAGGAAGCGGTTAAGTGCGGTGTCATGGCCGTAGCCGTTGTTGTTACCAGCCATAAAGGTACAGCACTGTATCACTACAAGGCGCTTAGTCACTCACACCACACCATGCGCTGCTCACCTGGTTCCAGAGGAAGTGGTTGAGTGCGGTGTCATGGCCGTAACTGTTGTTGTTGCCGTTACGCGTGTGCCCGTACTCATCCCCCATCAGCATCATGGGTGTTCCCTGTGACATGTGTGCATGTAGACAGCACAGGGACAGGGCACAAGAGTAATGGCATGTTGAGCATTTACAATATAGTATATGTCCATCCATGTGTGCCCGTACTCATCCCCAATCAGCATCATGGGCCTGCTCAGATCCATCCATCCATGAATGCATGCATACAGCACAGGGACAGGGCACAAGAGCAATGACACGTGGAACTTGTACCTTATGTGCCCGTACTCATCCCCAATCAGCATCATGGGCATGCCCTGCTCTATGTGCACGTGCGTGGGGCAAAGGGATAGGTAGCAAGGGAAATGGCACGTTGAACGTGTTCTATGTCTTGCATATGCCCGTCCGTGGGTGGCCGTACTCATCTCCAACGAGCATCCTGGGCGTGCCCTGCTCCATGTGCACATGTATACGGCACAGATTACAAGATGCACGTGCTTTTGAGGCGCCTCAAAAGTCATCACATGTATATGCAAGTGCACGCACCTGGGAGACCATCAGTGCGATGTGGAATGTTCTCATCTGCCGGTCTCTCAATGCCACAACCCCCTCGTTCTGTCTCACCCACCTATGACATGCATGTATGTGCTCGCATGCATGCACCTGGGAGACATGCATGCACCTGGGAGACATGCATGCACCTGGGAGACATGCACGCACCTGGGAGAAATGCACGCACTTGGGAGATCTGGACGCACCTGGGAGACCATCAGCGCGATGTGGAAGTTTCTCATCTGCCGGTTGGTTTCTCAACGCAACAACCCCCTCATCTGTCTCGCCCACCTATGACGTGCGTGTTTGTGCCCACACGCACGCACCTGGGAGACCATCAGCGCGATGTGGAAGTTCCTCATTTGGCGGTTTCTCAACGCAATGATTCCCTCATCCTGTTTGGCACCTGGCGGGGGTTCAAAAGTGGCACGAGGAGTTGGGTGAAAGTGTCACGCATGTCACAAAGAGTTCAGTGCAGAAAATACTAGTCCACATTGTAGAGGGTTTTGGGGAGTCAAAAGCAGTTCTTCACCCCCACACACACCTCCAAATAGTTCTCCACCTTCCCCCCTCCCCTCCAAACCCAGCCCCGCCCCCCCCCCTCCCCCCCACACCCTTCCAGCTACTCACCTTCCGCTCCGCAGTTCCAGCTGAAGTTGTCATTGCTGCCGTCCCTCCCCTCCTCCCCATTCGCCTCGTTGTGCTGCCGGGGAGGGAGAGAGAATGGGGTCAGGGGCCAGAGGGGGAGGTGTGGGAAAGAAGGAAGGGAACAGGGAAGGGAGTGGGGAGGAGGGGGCGGGGGAAGAGGGAGGAAGGACAGGAGGAAGCAGAGAGGATGAGATTGGAGAGTTTTGGGGCATCTAAACCAGGAAAGGTAGGGGAAGGAAGGGAACGGGCAGAGGAGATGAGTGCGAACAGGGGGGTAAGGGGATGTGAGTAAGGCTGGGGGGAAGGTGGGGAGAGGGGAAAGAGGGAACGAAATAGAATTACTAATGCCAATACTTCCTTTCTTTTGTTGCGTTTTTTACCTTGACGTTGTAAGACACGAGGTCCCTGAGTGTGAAACCGTCGTGAGCGATGACAAAGTTAATGCTGTGGTAGGGCTTGCGCTGATTGACCTGCCCGTGGTTACGCGGAGAGCAGGGGAGGGATATGCAAGGGATATGATAGGCATGAGGACTTCGTTCTCCCGGGCACAGAGATGACAGCAACATGAACAGCCAGAGATAAGCATGGTAACATATGGTAAATCTCATTTTTGATCCCATGACAGGGAATGGCATGGCAACACATGTCATCTCACATGGTACACGTCATCTCACATGGTACGTGTCATTTCACATGGTGCGTGTCATCTCACATGGTGCGTGTCATCTCACATGGTGCGTGTCATCTCACATGGTACGTGTCATCTCACAAGTTACATGTCATCTCACATGGCACATGTCATCTCAAATGGTACATGTCATCTCACATGGTACATGTCATCTAACATGGCACATGTCATCTCACGTGGTACATGTCATCTCACACAGAACGTGTCATCTCACATGGTACGAGTCATCTCACATGGTACGTGTCATCTCACATGGTACATGTCAGCGGATCCAGCCAGTCGAGTGGCAAACGGCCCCTTCATGCCCTCATCGCCCTTAATGAATTTGCGCACGTCGTCTCGATACTTGCCGTTCCACTCCGCCCACCTGAGATGAAGGTGATGGAAGCACGGCATGGGGATGATGGGGATGGCATGGCAGGGGGGTGGGGCGACGGAAGCATGGCATGGGTGGAGAAGGAAGGGTGTGACCATCCATGACATACAACCAATGACAGCTCAAGGGCCCCTTCATGCCCTCATCGCCCTTGATGAACTTGCGCACGTCGTCTCGGTACTTGCCGTTCCACTCCGCCCACCTGGGATGATGGTGATGGCGGCATGAAATGGCAGGGGGGTGGGGCGACGGCAGCATGGCATGAGTGGAAAAGGAAGGGTGGTATCATACATGATCATCCATGGCATACAGTCAATGACAGCTCAACGGCCCCTTCATGCCCTCATCACCCTTGATGAACTTGCGCACGTCGTCTCGGTACTTGCCGTTCCACTCCGCCCACCTGGGATGATGGTGATGGCAGCATGGCATGGCGATGATGGTGATGGCAGCATGGCATGGCATGGGGATGGGGCGATGGCAGCATGGCACAGGTGAAAGGAAGGGTGTTACCATCCATGATAGATCATTGATGAGTGCAGCATGTCATGAGTTTCCTTTCCTATATGACTCAACCAGGCAAGGTGTTACCTGTTCCAGTTTGTAAGGGCGTTACCAGTGGGGAAGGCGTTACCTGGTCCAGTTTGTGAAGGCGTTACCAGTGGGGAAGGCGTTACCAGGTCCAGTTTGTGAAGGCGTTACCAGTGGGGAAGGCGTTACCTGGTCCAGTTTGTGAGGGCGTTACCAGTGGGGAAGGCGTTACCTGGTCCAGTTGGGCAAGGCTACCTGTCCTATTCAAGGAAGGTCTTACCTGTCCCAGTTGGGAAAGCTTCCCACTTGGTAGAGTCCCCCACAGTCCCACGGCTCTGCGATCAGCTTGCACTTGGATAGCACCTCGTCCTTGGCAATGGCCTGATGGGGAAGGGGAGGGGGGAAGTGTGGGAACAGGAGGGGAAGGGGGAGTCGAGGGATGGGAGGAGTGGGAGGTGGGGCGAAACCTATGGTCACCTCCTAGAGTCCCCCACAGTTCAGGGCTCCGCGATGGGCTTGCACTTTGACAGCACCTAGTCTGTCAAAGGCAATGGCCTTATGAAAGAGGGGGGGGGAGGGTTGAGAGGTGGTAGGGCGTGAAGAAAGACGGGATGAGAGGAGAGGGGGGTAGGGATGTGACCAATCACTCACCCAAATCATTCACCCGACCCCAGTCACCCACTCCATTCCCTTACCCGATTGAAAGGAGGCACTTTGAGGAGCTCTCCATCAGCCCTCAGCACAAGGTGACTTTTGAGTCGACTCAAAAGTCACTTTGAGGAGCTCTCCATCAGCCCTCAGCACAAGGTGACTTTTGAGTCGACTCAAAAGTCACTTTGAGGAGCTCTCCATCAGCCCTCAGCACAAGGTGACTTTTGAGTCGACTCAAAAGTCACTTTGAGGAGCTCTCCATCAGCCCTCAGCACAAGGTGACTTTTGAGTCGACTCAAAAGTCACTTTGAGGAGCTCTCCATCACCCCTCAGCACAAGTCACTGGGGAGGTCAAGTAAGTGAGGAGATCACTTGCTGCAGTCCCTCGCCCCAACTACTCATCCAATGCCCATCCCAATCACGTACCCGAATGAGAGGAGGCGCTGTGAGGAGCTCTCCATCAGCCCTTGGCACAAGTCACTGGGGAGGTCGAGTAAGAGAGGAAATCATTATCCCCAATTTCTCTCCCCAACTACTCGTCCAAAACCCATCCCAATCACGTACCCGAATGAGAGGAGGCGCTGTGAGGGGCTCTCCATCGGTCCCTCGGCACAGGACACTGGCGAGGTCAAAGCGGAACCCATCCACGTGGTACTCCTGGAGGGAGAGGGAGGGGTGTGCGAAGGGGAGAAGAAGAGAGCGGTGAGCAGCGGTGAAAAAGGGTGAGGAGCAGTGGGGGGGGCCTTTGAGGGGCTCTCCATCGGTCCCTCGGCACAGGACACTGGCGAGGTCAAAGCGGAACCCATCCACGTGGTACTCCTGATGGAGAGGGCGGGAGTGAACGGGACGGAGGAGACGATATGATTGGTAGGGAGTCAGTGCAAAGGGCACTGGCAAGGTCAAAGCGATCCATACGGTAGTACTTAGGTGTGCGTGGAAAAGAAGGTAGGCTCACTCTCACTCTCACTCTCACATCACATCACATCACATCACATCACATCACATCACATCACATCACATCACATCACATCACATCGCACCTGTGCTCCCTCCCTGCCTCTCCCCCTTCTCCTCTCCCCCATCTCATCTGCACCCAGTGCCGGAGGCTATCCAGGATCATCTGCATCACCACCGGGTGGTTACAGTTGAGCGTGCCCCCTCTTCCCATCTCCCCCTTTCCTGTCACAACCTCTCCTTATCTCCCCGTCTGCTTTACTCCCCTTCTCACCCTCTACCCCTCCCAATCCCCCCGCCTCACCTGCACCCAGTGCCGGTGGCTATCCAGGATCATCTGCATCACCACCGGGTGGTTACAGTTGAGCGTGTTACCACACCTGACTGCTTCCTCCTCTCAGTATCTTGTCAGCCTTACTTCCCCACATTCCCACCCGACATGGCCCCTCTTGTACTCTCTGTACGCCCCTCCCCTCAGCCTCACCTGCACCCAGTGCCGGAGGCTATCCAGGATCATCTGCATCACCACCGGGTGGTTACAGTTGAGCGTGTTACCACACCCAGCATAATTCGCCAGTTGCACATAGCTGTTCGGCTGAACGATGTAGTATGTCTGGGGGTTAGGAAAGAGGGGCGGGGAGGAGAGGTGGGGACGGGGGTTGGGAAAGAGGGGAGGGGAGGAGAGGTGGGGACGGGGGTTGGGAAAGAGGGGCGGGGAGGGGGAGTGGGGATGGGAGGTGGGGAGGCATTGGCTTGGGAATGAAGGACAGGTAGCAGCCAAGGACGAGGAGGGAATTTCAGCCCCTTGTTTTCCCAGACGGGGTTTTGGAGTCCACTCATCAAAAGTCACCTCGAATCAATGAATGGACTCTGCTTCACCCTCACCCATCTGGTTCTGCTTCCTTCCCACCTTGCTGTCAATGCCCCGGAACAAGGTCGTATACGGGAAGGTACCATCAGCCTCGTTGGTGTGGTTGTAAACCACATCCTGTATCACCTCCACCCCCGCCGCATGCAACCACTTCGCCCCTGCTCTTCCCCTACTTCCCACCTTGTTCGTTTGACTGCCCACCCGCATGCACAGCTTCATCCCCAACCTGCACCCACTACATCCAGGCGCACACCTTGTTGTCAATCCCCCGGAAAGAGGTCGTACATGGAAAGGTGTCGTCAGCCTCGTTGGTGCGGTTGTAAACCACATCCCGTAACACCTCCACCCCCGCCACATGCACCCGATTCACCCCCGCTGCATGCAGCTTTTTTACCGTGCCCTTAACCACAGGGCCACTTAGAGGGAAGCAGCCTCACAGGCTCATACCTTGTTGTCAATCCCCTGGAAGGAGGTCGTATATGGAAAGGTGTCGTCAGCCTCGTTGGTGCGGTTGTAAACCACATCCAGAGTCACCTCCACCCCTGCTCCATGCAGCTTTTTCACCGTCTCCTTCACCTCCCTCGCTGCTGCTGCTGCTGCTGCCTCTCAGAAGGCTACTCAATAGGAAGGAGACAACATCAGAGTCTCGTACCTTGTTGTCGATGCCGCGGAACGAGGTGGTATACGGGAAGGTGTCGTCAGCCTCGTTGGTGTGGTTGTATACCACATCTAGAATCACCTCCACCCCCTCCGCATGCAGCTTTTTCACCATCTCCTTCACCTCCCTTGCTGCTGCTACAGGACCGCCGCCGTTAGAGGCGAAGCGGGACATGGGGGCGAAGAAGTTGACAGTGGAGTAGCCCCACGTGTTCACCTGGGGGGTTGGGAGAAACAAGGAACGTAGCAGAGAGGAGTTGAAGGCGGTTGAAGGTGGTACTGTGGTCCCCAGCGTTGGAGGCGAAGTGAGACATGGGGGTGAAGAAGTTGACAGTAGCCCCACGTGTTCACCTGTGGAAGAGGGAGAGAGGGGTTGAAGGCGGTTGAATCTGGTTAGAGGTTCATGTGACGACATGGCATGCAGCTTCTTCACCATCTCCTTCACCTCTCGTGCTGCTGCCACGGGGCCACCAGTGTTAGAGGCGAAGCGGGACATGGGGGCAAAGAAGTTGACCGAGGAGTACCCCCACGTGTTCACCTGTTGGTGGTGTGGGAATGTGGCAGGGAAACGGGTTGAAGGTGGTTAGATGTACATGTGATGCCACTGCATGCAGCTTCTTCACCATCTCCTTCACCTCTCGTGCTGCTGCCACAGGGCCACCAGTGTTAGAGGCGAAGCGGGACATGGGGGCAAAGAAGTTGACCGAGGAGTACCCCCACGTGTTCACCTGTTGGTGGTGTGGGAATGTGGCAGGGAAACGGGTTGAAGGTGGTTAGATGTACATGTGATGCCACTGCATGCAGCTTCTTCACCATCTCCTTCACCTCCCGCGCTGCTGCCACGGGGCCACCAGCATTGGAGGCGAAGCGGGACATGGGGGCAAAGAAGTTGACCGTGGAGTACCCCCACGTGTTCACCTGTGGGGGAGGAATTGTGGCAGGGAAGGGTTGAAAGCGGTAGAAGGTGGTTAGAAGTAGATGTGACGACATGGCATGCAGCTGCTTCACCATCTCCTTTCACTCCAAGCTCTTCCTGGTTTCAGGGCTCCAATGTGGTCACAGGAATTGGGGCGGGGCGCCTCTGCAACTCCATCTCGTCATACTCAAAGATGGGCAGCAGCTCCACCACTGCCACTCCGCTGCCTTCTTCACCCCATCATACTGCATTCCACGCCAGATCTACCTTATCTGAGAAACCTAGAGCACTATACCATGTGGTCTCGGGGGTTAGGGCGCCTCTGGAAAACCACCGTGTTCACCCCCAAGTGCCTTCATTGGCTTCACTTCACCTCATCCCACTGCCTTCCACCTCATCTACCTTATCTGAGAAATCTAGAGCACCATACCATGTGGTCGCGGGGGTTGGGGCGCCTCTGGAACTCCATCTCATCGTACTCGAAGATGGGCAGCAGCTCCACCGCGTTCACGCCCAGCTGCACCAGGTGCTGCACCTGCATGCATCGAACACGGGCCACATATGGGTGTATGTGCACGCACGTTAACTCCTGGCGGCAGCAGCTCCACCGCGTTCACGCCCAGCTGCACGAGGTGCTGCACCTGCACGCATGGGATATGGACAAGCGGGTGGAGTGCAGGGACTGTATGGGTTGAAATTCATGCACATGAATGAAGGCGCACATCAGCTCAACTGCGCTCACTCACGCCCAGCTGCACCAGGTGCTGCACCTGCAGGCATGCCACGTGGTAACACAGAAACACGGTGGGTCATGGGAACACACACACAGGGTCGCACATGCAGTCATTCCATAAACGCGTTCACATGGGAAGCAACGCAATAGCACGCAGCAGCATGTCACACTAACGCTTACCACCACCTACAGAAACAAAAAAATTAAATGGTTCCACCTTTGACTTGCACACCCTACCTTATCCGCAACAGCTGAGTAGCTTCCTCGCCTCCCCTCCTCGACCCCACTAGAGGGATCTGCAGTGTATGCCCGCACGTTCATCTCGTATATAATCACGTCTTTCTGCAAACATACAGGAGCACACGAGAGGACAACATGGAGTAGGGATAGAGGCAACAGTCACTATAACTGAGCAGGAATACTAGCTTCCCATGCCACTAGCTATCCCCCCTCCCTCCATCTCACTCCATCTCACTCATTCCCCAGCGATTTACAGGCTTCTTTCTCCAATACAGACAGCACTTCTTTTTCGCTCGCTCCTCAACCCCCAACCCACCCACGCACTGCAGTGCAGACACAGGCGCAAACTCAACCTGGAAAGGAGGTGACTTTTGAGTTGACTCAAAAGTCGCTGCAGTGGAGATACTGGGACAGACTAAACCTGAAAACCGAAACCTCAACCCCGAAACCTTAACCCCGAAACCCTTTCCCCGAAACCCTCCCCTTTCATACCTCGGGAATAGGCTTTCTCTTGGCTTCCGCCTCTCCCCAATCGAACGGCTCAGATTCAAAGTCAAAAGTGCCGTACATCTGAGCCATCCGTTGGCTCCCATCCCCAAATTTCCTTCTCCCATCCACGAGGGGTGCGTAGGGGTCTATCAGCAATAGGGAAGGGTCGAATCGGTGGCCTTCTCCCCACCCCTTTGGACCGTCCACCTTATAAGCATACAGCATACCGCATAGAGGCACGTTCTGAGGAGACGAGGCAGGGGGGGGAAAAAAGGAAGGTTGAACGATGACACCTGAAATAGAAGGGTATTAACTTAGTTCAGAGCTATGTTTGGCCGTTTTGATATAAGGCGACAGAAGGGAGAGAAGGCAGCCATTCACAAGTCACCCCATCAGGACTGCTCACCTCCACAGAAGCATGCCAGATGTCGCCCGTTCGTTGGCTGTTGGGATCCAGGGCAATCTCGAGATCAGGAGGCGAGCCCTGCTTACCGGACAGGAACCTGTGCGGAGAAGAGTGAGGGGAACGAGAGGGGGTAGCAAGGAGGAGAGGCTGGAGCTGAACCGATTAATCCTACTAGGACTAATCTGGTACCTGATCTCATACGGAATTGAATCTGTGAGGGTCCAGAGACAGCGTGATAGTGGAATGGAAATGGCATCTTGGGGTAAAGATTGACATGGCCTACACGCAGGAATTCACGGCTGTAGCGCGACTGAAGACTTAGAGGCAGAGGCTCACGGCTGTAGCGTGGCTAGAGAAAAGTGCAAAGTTGACGGTTCCTCGAGCAGGCAAAGAGTCACCGCTGTAGCCTGACTAGAAACTTACAGGCAGAGGGTCACGGCTGTAGCATGCTTGGAGAAGAGAGCAAAGTTGACGGTTCCTCGAGCAGGCAACCTGCTGTAACCGTCTAGCTTGGGTCGCTTCTCCACTAGAGACGGGCCCAGAGGGGAAGGTGAGCCGGTTCCAACCTTCACTTGTGACGCAGGGACGGGTGTGCTATAAGCGAGTGTTGTTACAACGGAGGAACGTCGCCAGGATGACCACGGGGGCGAAGCTGGGGGGATAGAGGTGGAATCCGATCTCGAGCCGCGCATGCCCTGAAAGGGATGACGTGTACACGTAGATCAGAAAACGGAAACGGTATGCGTGAGATGTGTTGTTAGCATGCTAAGGAATGATGATGCCAATGACATTGGCAATGAATACGACAACGCCATTTGAGGTGTTCGAGACCATCAATCCGATCTCAAGTTACGCATGTCTTGGAAGGTAGACGATCAGTGATTACCATGATCGTGAGGACGATGGCGACGGAAACGACGATATCGATGGGGATGGCTATGGTGATGCTGATCACATCAGATTCATCATCTACCGGCAAAGGCGAATCATCCAACTTTTCCTACCTTGAAACTTGGAGTCAGCTCCTTGACGAAAACACGCCTTCCGATAGTACACGTGTCCAATGTAGAAACCCTTCGGACGAATCCCAGGCTGCCAGGTGGCGCCGCGGCGAAAGTGCTCGCAGGCGGCCTGACGATGCTCGCCTGAGCATTCATGACGAATGCGTCACCAGACGGAATGCCGGATACTACGCCGGAAATCATGCACGCTAAACGCGACGACGTCTTTTCCGTAGACGCCTCGAACAGATGAATATGACGCTAGATTTTCCGACTGTGTACTGGAAGCTGATGATGACTTGTAGAGACAGCGCTTGAGGCAGGAGACCTGGCTTTTGACGACACGACCGATTCTCCTAGAGTGCACGAGCTTTGTGTGGTCGGAGACAGACGAATGGAAGCTTTGAGATTCGTTCCTCTAGTCTCCAACACGAGACTCACTCAGGCCTCCTGATAGGATTCAGAGGATCGTTGCAACCCGAAGTCACACGCTTTGACAACCCACCACCGTTGCTGGAGGGGAAATGGTTTGCATGAACAATCAGCTCAATGATCCGTCGTAAGTGGTTACCACCACAAGCACTTCGCTTCCGGCCTAATGGGTCAAAAATGCGAGTTGTCGTCTTTCGCCACGCTTATTTCGTTCGACAACTCCAAGGGTCCTCCAGCAGCAATCCCAAATCTCCTGCGGCACAATTCTAGCATCGATCCTGCCGAGCGATTGGAGGGGCGGAAGCTGGGCCGTGTTGATTGGCTCGACGGAGCTTTTCTGCAATTGGTCGGTGAAGCGAAGGTGGCGAAAACGGAGATATTTGTAGCGCCGGTTCGGGTAAGTTGAGAACGATTGTGTGGGTTCGTGATTCCTCAAGTAAAAACTGAACTAAAAACAACGAACTCTGTAAAACAATCCAAATATGTGTAATAGAAGATTCCAATTTGAGCATTTGGGAAGCATGATGTATGGAAACTGAACAGCTTCAACTGATTGTAAAACACCTTGCATTCAAATTCACAAGATGAGTGTCACGCTCACAAAAAGGATTTGCAATCATACAAATGACATTTAAAAAGGTCTCAGCTTCTGTGGTCCGGAACATGAGAAGGGACATCTCCAAATGTTTCCTCAATCTCAATCTTGTGGCCTTCTGGGACCTCCCATGGCTTCCACTCTGCTTGTTGGGAGAAGAACCACACACAGCACCAACGTTGTGGGCAAGACACGCCACTCCCACACACCCCATCACACGCACGCACGCACACACAACGCATGCACTCCCCCCCCCTCCCCCAACACACCCACACATGCACACAAACAAAAGTACACACAAGCACAATCACACTCGTGAGAACCCATGGAATCAGCTGATCCAAAGGCCTGAAGCAACTGGCCAGCCCAAGACCCATCACAGGAACAAACTGTGGCCACAGGCCACAATCCCCTACTCCGAACGTATAAGCACAACTTAGCCCTCTGTCCACCTACTCCTCACACACAAACCCTACTTACCGATCGTCAACCCAGCGTTGTACAGTTACAGAGCTCGTCTAAGGCCAACGGGCCCTTGGCCTCGAAAAATCCGGAGCACTTCGGGAAGAGCACATGACATCTCGCGGTACTATAGTATCACTGTACCCGCTAGGGAACTCCTGAGGCGTCCCGGCATAAGCGACACCATGACAGCTCGCAGAACTACCGTACTACGTAGAAGACAATAATGACGTCTCAAGCTTGGGCATGATACTGAGAGCGTGCAATACAGTTCCATTTAGGAGGTTGCGAGTTGCGAGCACCGTGGGGATACCAGGGCGGACCGCAGACGCACGCGAATCGACCGTAGCAATCTAACTCGATGGCAACCCTCTCTGAACCTACGCCCTCGCCTCATGCAACGATCGCGACACATGGAACTCACTCGCGACGGCGGCGAGTTTGCAGATCGCGAATCCACGGAGTTGTAACGCACCGCTGCAATCTTTCTCCTACTATCGAGACCTGCTACCCAATACTGCTCAGCACGACGGGAATCGTACTGGCTAACAGGACGAGAGTCTCACCAGCCATCTTAGGAATCAGTTCTAGCTCGTCCTTAGCTTGCTCGATCAGCTCCTCCACCTGTCCGCATTGCACGCGCGCTTCGATCTGCTCCGCTTCCTGCTCCTCCTCGCACACCGCGAGCCGCTGCCGCGTCAGCGCCTCCACGTTCTGCCTGTACACGGCCTCCTGAGGAATCACCTGAACGGCGCTTAGGGTTTGGTTGTAGAGGCCGATGAGCACCTGACGCGCGTTGGGGACAACATCGAGGCCGACGATGCCCGTCGACTCCTTCGCCTGCGCGAACAGCGCTCCTAACCGTCGACTCAACATGGCGGCTTGTGTACAATGGAGTACAGAAAGCACAGCAAGAGGAGAACCGACTGCAAAATAAAACAAGTCGGATTATTTACTGTTCAGACGCAGATGTGCGTTCATGCCGGAGTGGTTAACGGGACAGACTTGAAATCTGTTGGGCTACGCCCTCGCAGGTTCGAATCCTGCTGAACGCGATTTTTTCCCACATGGTCCTTATGGTGGATATACGCCCTACATGTCCTTTTGGTGCTTCCTACTCATCAGTCCAACCCCCTTTTTACTTTCACCTGCTCATCATAAGCTTGCACAACTTTATCTCCTCATCAAGAGCTTGCTGTTACGAGTGCAATTGAGTGAGCGAGCAAGGAGTGCACTATCGAAGCAAAAGTACAATGAGCGAAGGCATGAGCGAAGAATATATAGCGAAAATACAGTGGTAACGGTAATGGACTGTGGTTGTCGCGCGACGGGCCTGGGACTGAGGTTGGGGAAAATGTCGAAGCGGAGGCCCGGAGCGCGGGTTACCCGCCGAACCGTGAGGTCGGGGTGCGACGTGCGAAGGTGGCGGGAGGATTGTTGATGCGAGGGTTGCGACTCGTAACGGTGCTGACAGTGGTGTACGCGCTGAGCGGGGACGTGAAGTAAGGAAAAGGAATTTTCCTTACACTACCCCCCCCCTAAGGAGGTCCACCTTACGAGAGCGCGTGTACATCCTTGAAGTTTCGGCTGCGCAGATATTCGGTGAGGACGGGGTGGTTTTCGATTCTGTGCAGGGGAACCCAGTTGTCTTCGATGGGTGTACGGTCTTTCCAGCGGAACAGGAACTCGATCCTTCGGGCTCCTCGAGGGTCACGAACTCTGTGGCTCAGAATTTTCTCGGGGATGATGATTGGTTCAGTCGGCGGTCGTATCATGCTGGCTAGGCGATTACGTGGCAGTTGGCTCGTGGACGGGACGTAAGGGCGAAGTAGGCTGACGTGGAATGAGGGGCTGACGTACCAGTCAGCGGGGAGGAGGAGGTGGGCGGTGACGGGCGTAATCATGTGGCTTATGCGAAATGGCCCGCAATATCGGGGGCGGAGTTTTGGGGTGATGGGCAGTCCGAGGTTCTGAGTGTCGAGTAAAACTAGGTCGTCAGGTTGGTAAGTGACAGGTCGGCGGTGGCGGTCGGCGTTGCGTTTAGCGATGATGTTCGATTTTTTTATTGCGTCTGCTGCCCGGGTCCGTGATGCTTGTAATATTTCGGCGAACTGTTGTGCTCGTGGCACTGGGTTGTCGGGATTCGGGGTCATGCGTACTGTCGGGTATTTGTCAGAATGTTATCTTATGCTCTAGCCTGTAGTGGGGTGCTCTATAGCGAGTACAACCCTTCTAGGGTTTGCTATTTGTATCCCCATTCTTGCTAGTGCATCCCTCCTTCTCTCTTCTAACTTTCACATGCTATCAGAGCAGGTCGATCCCCTTGGATCGATCCTGTGGGTGGGCTTACCACCTCGTTGCTTCCGCTGCAACTACTACTGCTACTCTCTGTGCCGCACGCCCCGTGGCGTGCGGCTGTTTTTCTTCCCGCCGTGCGCCCCGAGGCGCGCGGCGGTTTTCTGCCCGCCGTGCGCCCCGAGGCGCGCGGCGGCTCTCTGCCCGTTGTGCGCCCCGAGGCGCGCGGCGGGCTTCTGCCCCGTCGTTCGGCGCGTCGTCCTCTGGAGCGTCGCGACGGGCGACGGGGACCCGCGCGTCGCCCCCCTTCACCCGTCTTGGCCTGCGCGCGGCCCGTACAGGCGGCGCGCGGCCCGTACGGGCTGCGCCAGGCCCGCGTGCGACCCGTACGGGCGGCGTCAGCCCCGTGCGCGGCCCGTACGGACGGCGCCAGTCCCGCGCGCGACTCGGGCCGCCTGCGCGCGGCTCGGGCGTCTGTACCAGGCCCGTGGTGGTCCCGTTCCTCGCTGCCCCTGCCCTCCCCGCTGTCCCCCAGTGCTTCTAATGGCGCCCCACCCCTCCTACTCCCCATTCTCCTGAATTAGGGTTTGGGGGTGAGGGGTATGGGGGTGACCTCACTGGGTGCCGGTTCCCTGCTCCTCCTCCTCCTCCTCCTCCGTCTCCCTGTGCTGCAGCTGTCGCTGAGGGGGGGTGGACGTGTTGGAGCCGGTGGAGTGGTACTAAGGGGGGGTGAAGGGGGAGTGGAGCTAGCGGTGTAGCAGCGGGTGTGTGCCAGGGGGGAGTGGGATAGTTTGGGGAAGCTGAATGGAGGTTGCCGTCGTGTCGCCAGCAGCACCTGTAGTCCGGGGAGTTGCTCCAGTAGCCCAGTCGTAGCCAGCTGTGCCAGCCGCCCGTGGGCCCGTTGCTCGTCTGCCGCTACTTTAGCCGCGGGGCCAGTTACTCCAGTATTCCGGAGCGTTGTTCCGGTAGCCGCTGTGCCAGTGTGCCTCTTGTTGCCCGTGTGTCTGCAGCTTCATCCGTCGCCTCCTATCTCCTCTCCTCTCACTCTCTCTCCTCCTCCTCACTTGCCCGTTGTGACTACCACTAGCTTTGCTCATAATTGTGAACTTTAAACTATTGCTTCTTGAACTTGTGCTCAGAATGTGTGGTGACATTGTGATCCACCCTGAGCTTGTACTGCTTTACTTGCTCTGCTGATTACACCCAACTTTTGCTATGGGGGTGTGTCAGAATGTTATCTTATGCTCTAGCCTGTAGTGGGGTGCTCTATAGCGAGTACAACCCTTCTAGGGTTTGCTATTTGTATCCCCATTCTTGCTAGTGCATCCCTCCTTCTCTCTTCTAACTTTCACAGTCTTGTCCATAGTTCAGGTAAAATGGTGACTGTTGGGTCGTGGCGGACGGTGAGTTGTTGTATGCGAATTCAATGAGTGGCAGCTGTTGTTCCCAGGTGCTTGGGTCGTCGCACGTGGCTCGGATGAGTAGCTCCATAGTCTGGTTTGTCCGTTCTGTCTGTCCGTCTGTTTCGGGGTGGTACGAAGAACTGAACTGTAGTCGCGTGCCGAACTGCTGCCACAGGTTACGCCAGAAGTTGCTGGTGAATTTCGTGTTGCGGTCGTTGATGATCGGTGATGGTATCCCATGTAGTCAAACGACGGTGGAGATGAAGAGTCGAGCTGTTTCTTCGGCTGTTATCGATTTTTTGCAGGTTGCGAAATGTGTCATTTTCGTCAGTCGATCGACGACGACCAGGATCGCGTCGTTCCCACTCGCCCCGGCCGGTAACCCCGTGACCAAGTCCATCGTCACCTGCTGCCAAGCACGCTCTGGGGGTGGTATCGGCTGCAACTGTCCTGCCAGCCGCTGCCGTGATGATTTCCTGAGCTAGCAAGTGGGACACGATGCCACGTGTCGTTGTACGTCGGTCAACATTTCGGGCCAGTAATAATACCGCTGCAGCTGCTGCCGTGTTTTCTCTACCCCGAAATGCCCCGAGGTAACTCCGTCGTGTGCCTCCTGTAATAGTAATTCCCGTAGCAGTGTGTACCCTGGTACCCACATGCGGCCGGTCCCAGTTTTTACGTAATAGTCTCCTTTTGCTGCTGCAAATTGCTGCGAATTTCCTCATGTGAAGAATGGATCCGTTTGGTACCCATGGGTGAATAGGCCTGTCAGTAGTGGGCTTGTCTGGGTGAGTAGTATTGCATGGATCTGGGCAGTGGGGCGGGTGCGTCGGCGATGTTCGAGGCTCCCTTTTTGTAGGTGACCGTGTAGTGAAAGTTGGACTCGAGAAAGTCGAGCCAGCGAATCTGTCGTGGGTTGAGGTGTGGCTGTGCGCGAAGGTACTGTAGTGATTTATGGTCTGTCCGTACTGTCACGTCTGCGAAAATGAACGAGAAAAGGATGAACTATGAAAGAGTTGGGTACAAGTACTAACCCTAATTGGGTTGTACCCCTTATGGGCTACCCCACCATAGCCTACACAAAAGCATAAGCTATGATGTTCTGACACACCCCCATAGGCAAAGTGGGGGAGAACAAGGGGTCACAAGACCAGTCAAGCAAAGCAAAGCAAGCTCAGGGTGGATCACAAAGTCACCACACATTCCGAGCACAAGTTCAAGGCCACAAGGCCAGTTCACATGCAGGAGTACATATATATATAAAAGGCTAGACAAGCAAGAGCAGGTGTATATATATATGTAACAGTACAAACAAGGTCAAGGGGTGAGCAAGTGAGGCAAGGCAGGCACAAGACCCAGCTGAGTACAGAAGCGCTGATGATCACAAGGCGCAAGTGCCTTGGTGAAGATATCAGCAGTGTTGGCCTCAGAGGCCACGTACGCAAAACGCAGCTGACCACGCTACTGCAGCTCACGAGCAAGAAAGTAGCGGAGAGCAATGTGCTTCGTTCTGTGCTCCAGTCGCTGCTCCCGACACAAGGCCAGCATGGCCTTGTTGTCTACGTACAGCACTGGAGGAGAACGAGGCGGCTCTCCGAGGTCAGTCAGCAGGTAGGTGAGCCAGCGAAGCTCCTGAGCAGCCATGGCTCCTGTGTAGATCTCAGCCTCACAACTAGAGCCGAGAACAGAAGACGAGCGAGTAGCCCGCAACGAAACAGAGCCGGAACCAAGGCAGAAGGTGTAACCCTGTGACGACCGCTGCGTAGCCTGGTCGTCAGCCCAAGAAGCGTCTGCGTGCCCAGTGAGGACCACTGGACTCTGCCCTCCAAGCACAAGCCCCATGCCCGACGTACTGCACAAGTAGCGCAACACCCTCTTCGCTGCAGCCATTTGCTCTGGTCGGTGTCTCCCATGAGCAACATAGCGTGCGAGAATGCTAAGAGGGTATGCAAGGTCAGGTCGTGTGCAGGTCATCAGGTACATGAGGCAGCCAACAAGCTCTGGGTACGGGCCACTCGACTCTACGGACTCATCCAAAGGCAGAGCTGAGAGCGAGTGGCGAGTAGGCAGAGGAGTGGCCTGAGGCGAGGAGTACGTGAAGCCGAAGCGCTGAAGGACCTGCTGCACCATGTGTGACTGAGTAAGGGTAATGGTGCGGCGTGCTCTGTCCCGGGTGAT